GGGGGGGGGATAAGATACGTGCGGATTTGAACTGTCGTCTGGTCTTGGCGTTAGGTTACCGCGGCATGCAGACATCCAGTTGTGTAAATTGTATTGTTTACCCTGACGTTGCTAATGATCCTATCTACACGCCCAGGAGGAAAATTTTACATCAATTCGCGTTCTTATTCGGACGAGGCCGATATATTGGCGCATTATGCTAAAATAGCTGATATAACGAGTCAGGTATCCGGTTACATCACTTCCGGTTTGGTATTTGGAACTTTTAAAGCGCTTTATTCTTATTGCACTGAGTGTACATGGCAATTGGCTGTTTTTTATGCTACGAGGTTTCAAATGCAGATAAGCAATTCTGCATGAAAGAATTAGGAGAGTTTTAACCTACACTGATCCTACGTACACGCCCAGGAGGAAAATTTTGCATCAATTCCCGTTTGTCTTCGGACGAGGCCGATATATCGGCGCATTATGCTAAAATAGCTGATATAACGAGTCAGGTATCCGGTTACATCACTTCCGGTTTGGTATTTGGAACTTTTAAAGCGCTTTATTCTTATTGCACTGAGTGTACATGGCAATTGGCTGTTTTTTATGCTACGAGGTTTCAAATGCAGATAAGCAATTCTGCATGAAAGAATTAGGAGAGTTTTAACCTACATTTCGCTCATGTAGAACCGTAGTTCTGCACCACACGTGTTGAAGCCTACCTGTTTGTAGTCTACGTCGGCCTTTTCGTGGTGTTCATGAGTGACTTGTATGGGTCACTATTTTTTTCACACTAATAGTTGAATGTATTCACCATCCTCACACCCCACATCTGACCCCATGGAGTACAACCATTCCAGAGATTTTATTTGTAGTGTTCTGTCTGACGACAGGTCCATATATTATGAACAGGATCCTTCCAACCTCTTCAGGTTGTCAGGGACCTGCTCATACATATATACATTCTTGGCAGAGATGATCAGAAGTGGTTTGCCATTGCCTTCTTCTGTGTGTGAAGGGAGTAATTGTTGGGAGGCCACGGAGGAAAACTCCGTGTTGCCTAGACCACGGCCTTGCCCAACACAAGTTATAAATTCGAACCCGAGACCCCAGGATTACAAGACCAGCGTTAGCAATCAACTAGCTTGATCGTATTTCAGTGGGACCTATTACAGAACTCATTTGATGATAACCACAGCAACATGAATGACCTATATTTGAAAGTGGGCTGATTTCACTGGCTTCTGATAGGACAAAGTGTTTCACTATGCATTTATTGTGCCGTCCGCAGAACGTAAAGTTTTGCAAAAAAAAAACAAAAACATTCCATCTTATTAATATACTGCCTTTAATCCTGATTATACTTCGGCGTAGTTTCTCATCTAGTCGAGATGTTGTCCACTTTTAAGGAGCCAGATTGTTCATTGCAATGTTCATAAGAACCCTGCAAAAGCCACAGATCTTAGCTGTATGAATGCAGTCCATATCCACGCCCTCCTATCCGATTTCCTTAACACAGGCTGAAGAAATTTGCTGAATGACGCGCCATAAGTTGTAGTCTTAAATAAATATTACTAAAGGATGTGGACTGCGTTTATCTGACTGTTGTAAACACGGCAATGAACCTTTGGGGCTCTGAATAATTCAGCGACCGTAAAGTTTACCAGAAGGGCTCTTGGTTAATGGACTACGCTACAGACTGCCTTCATGATAGGCTTACGTGTACATGTGGACGGAGCCCCCAGAGTATATATTATATTTATCGTGTTAGGAGTAACTTGAAACGTTAAGCCGATATGTAACTTGGGATAACAATATTGCCTGTAGTGCTTTATGGAATCATTGTTTCCAACATTGCAACACAAATGTGCTCTGAGCGTTGTTTCTGTCAGCGGGATCTTTACTCATTCAGAGGAGTCGCTTTTAACGCTGTTTGAAGAGCTGACATGTCATAGTGTGGACAATGTAAGTCACGTGGATGTACCATACCTTTGTCGTCCAACGTCCGAGCGCAGAAAGGCATTCCATCCAGCTGTTTTGACAATAACCCAAAGCCATTTAATTTGGTTATGCAGCGAGTTTGTCTTGCGACCACTTACTCAGGCAGAAGATTCAAACTCTCCTCCCGGTAAGTCGGGTCGACCCATGACCCTTGGCAGTTCAGTCATCTAGAGCAGTGGTATTCAACCATTTTTTGTTCGCGTACCCCCAGATATAATTTCTCTTCAACTTTGTACCCCCAAAGTTGTTGGTGTATAATTCAAGTTATACATAGTATATAATCTACATCTAAAATAAATTAAATAAATTACATTAATGATTATTCAGTGTTTATCATTTTTTTTTAAATTTCACGTACCCCCTAAGATGTCTTCGCGTACCCCCAGATATAATTTCTCTTCAACTTTGTACCCCCAAAGTTGTTGGTGTATAATTCAAGTTATACATAGTATATAATCTACATCTAAAATAAATTAAATAAATTACATTACTGGTTATTCAGTGTTTATCATAAAATAATATGCATATTTTTTTAAATATCACGTACCCCCTAAGATGTCTTCGCGTCCCCCCGGGGGTACGCGTACCCCAGGTTGAATACCACTGATCTAGAACACTGGCGTAGGCAATCGCTCGACCGTGACGTTAGGGCAGATTTTAAAATCATTTTGATTGTCTAATTCAACGCGGACATCAGTCGGTACGACCTTTGATATTTTTTAACGCGTGTGTGACCGTCTGCATATTTCGTTGTTTGGATTTGAAAAGTCCAAAATAAAATCTGGAGACGAGATTCTTTTTGATAATGGTTGTCTTCTGGGTTGTTTCGCCATGTAGTTAACTATCACCTTTCAGTGGGCCTTTCTCCATCAGCCATTAGGGCGGTCGCTGAAAAGACAGCCATCTTCCTACTCATTGCAATGAAAGTAAATTAAAGTATGTAGGCGCTTGGGGTGAGTGGTCAGCATCACGCCCCGGCCGGCTTTACCCCCGAGAAAGGACCCCGGTACCCATTGGACAGGAGGCTGGGTGGGCCCCAGAGCTGGTCTGGACGCAGAGGCTAGAGGAAAAATCCTCTGCCCCCGTCGGGGATCGAACCCCGGTCGTCCATCCCGTAGCTAGTCACTATACTGACTGAGCTAAGTTATACCTTTAAATCTAACTGATTTTAACTTTGTTTCGCGTCGGTTTCGATAAATCTCGCATACCATGACGCTAAAGTTCAACTCCCTCAGAAACTGTTCGTAGAAATCATTACAATTGAATATTTGGGTATATATAACTGGTTTAATCTCGTCAAGAACAGGAAAATGTGTATTAGCGAGGCCCAAAATCCCTTCTCAACATCGCCATGGCAACGGTAATAAGAACATGCACATTCATAAACATTATTATCCCACGAGGCCCGAAATCATTTTCGAGCAAATAATCACGAACCATCCAACCAAGCTGCCGACAATTCTTTACAATACACGTAGGGTTTTATTCGAAAACCTTTTTCAGGTAGCGAATTTTAATTAAATACGTTGAATAATTTCTGACTGCGCTGTTTGTAAATGCGCACTGAGGCTATTTGGGTATGAATAATCGCAGTTATATTCTACAGGTTACGTATTTGCAGTTCTGTAACTGTACACAAAAGGATCGAACAGTATGATGACCCCCGGGGGCGTTGCGACTCGGATGTCTGTTTGCTGACCCTCCGTCGGAAATTTCCCATCACACAAAAGACGCCAGCTCGGAGGAAAACGTTTTAATCGGTGCGGCGTCAGTGCGTGGAATTGTGGGACGCGTCGACGAGCCGTGATTTGACGCATTTTTTGTTTTATAGAATTAATTGGTTCGCTACGGTGGTCTAGCGGTCAGAACACTAGCCTTGTAAGCCTGGGGTCCCGGGTTCAATTCCCGGTGGTGCTCAAATTTATAACTTGTGTTGGGCAAGGCCGTGGTCTAGGCAACACGGAGTTTTCCTCCGGGGGCTTCCCCGGTTTCTCCGTGGCATTCACACACAGAAGAAGGCAATGGCAAATCACTTCTGGATCATCTGCCAAGAACGTATATGAACAGGTCCCAGTCCGAGAAAAGGATGGAAGGATCCTGTTCATATGGACCTGTCGTCAGACAGAACACTACAAATAAAAAAAAAAGAATTAATTACGTTATTCAGAGGTGCATGTTTGTTGATATGACGACAATGAACATTGATGTCGAGTGGTTAGTACTCCGGCTTCGTATTTGAGATGTCCGTTCGACCCGAAGACCAGCTACCCCTATTACTGAGCCCTTCCATGTGCTGGGCAATCGTATAAAAATAGGCCACGACCCCTTCCACGTTCTTCAATTTATCTTTCACTAATTCTTCTTGCTGACGCTGTATAAGCGTGGGGATTGAAAGCGTCGTTAAATAACCATAGAATTATACGCTAGTCCGTTAATTTAGGTATTCCGAGGCGAGTTTGTACCTAAGGCTGTGGTCCGATAGGCCAAACATTTCGTTTCTGCAATGGCGAACTCGGTAGCCTTGTGGCCTGTCTTGAGGGCAGTGTATGTAGAAAACTTTGGGCCCTAGTGCTCGGGGTTTAATGATGGGGTAGGAGGCACGAGGGCGAAGCCACGAATAATATTTGTTTCGTACGGCTTTTGAAATTCATCTTTCTCCGTGTCCGTACGACGACAAGCACGTAATAAATGAATTGAATTGAATTTTTCCGAATATATGAACGCGTTCTTTATTCGTCACTGGTGTCAGTAATAGCTGAAAGTGTGGGTACCGAACGTGGTTATCAGATAAGTAGTGAAGAAGGAACTGTCATTGATGTGACCCAGAATCGCTTACCGAAACCGAACATCGCCGTTGGTTTGTTGGTAGACCTGCGTCATATTTGTGTAGCCCTGACACCGGGTAGCCTGACTTGAACATTTTCGTGTTTTTCCTTGGGCTCTCCTAACAGTGCGTTAAATTAGCCAATGACAACGTTTGGATCTCAGAAATCTCCGTACCATCGACATCGAGATCAGTAATCGCGGTTCGACGCTTTCTGGTATCCGAGACAGCCTCAGCTCTCAGGAAATTCATTCTTTTACCTTCTCAGTTGCCTCTTGGTGAGAATGAGTCCCATGAGTGCGATGTTCGCCGCCATTCCGAGCGCTCCGAGGCTGAAAATGACGGTGGCTTCCATCGTTCCTCCAGGGTGACACTGGAACACCCGACCACCGTTCGTTGCGTTCGCCGTCGAGATGCTGCCGTAGCGAAGATTAGCCCCGATCATGGCGACCGCCGACCCTGCATGAAAGTCATTCTTTTGCAGATACAGCTCCTGTCTCAATTAAAACACGCGTCTCCTTATCATACGAGGTGCGATCGGAAAGTTTCAAGACTGCGCGTATAAAAACCCGTACACTTATCTCAGGTATTAAATTCATCCATCACCCTAGAAGTAGTTCCCCTGGGAGTGAACACAACGATCCCAGCGCCGCTGCCAAGCCTGGAAGCATCCCTGGAAATCTTTCTTTGTCAGCCTGTCAAGCACCATCTGCGATTCTGCCTGAATCTCTTCTATCGTCTCAAATCTCCTTCCCTTTAGCTGAATTTTCAATTTACCAAAACGCCCGTAACTAAGAAACAAATGCTAATTCGATGATGCCGGCTCGCACACTGATTCACTATGAATGTAGGCCGCACCCCCTAGCGGCAGAAGCTCGTACTACATCCAGTTCGCCCTCTATTGACA